AGGAATGGATCATTTTAGTTACGAAGAAAGGTTAAAAAATTTACATCTCTTTAGTTTGGAAAAACAGCACCTGAGAGGGGATATGATAACATTGTACAAATATATCCAGGGCCAGTACAAACCATTATCTGAAAATCTATTCATAAACAGGGCTATAAATAGTGCATGAGGTCACACATTTAGGCTGGAAGAAAGGAGATTTCATCTAAGGCAAAGAAAAGAAAAGAGCAATAAGGATATGGAATACTTTGCCTGAAATGTGGTTTTATCAGAGTCTGTACAGATGTTTAAACTGCAATTGGATAAATACGTGCAAAAACATAACGTACAGGGATATAATTTCTAATTAGTGGGGTAATAGCTGCTTGATCCAAGGAGACATCTGACTATTTTGGGGTCAAGAATGAATTTTTTCCTAGTTTGTTGCAAAATTGGAAGCGCTTCTGACTAGGTTTATTGCCTTCTTTTGGATCAACAGCAAAAACATATGTGAGGAAGGCTGAACTTGATTGACGCAAGTCTCTTTTCAGCTATGTAACTATGTAACATACCCCCACAGATTTGTACTCTTTGATACAGGTGAATCCTCTTCGGGGTACCACCCTAAAGTCAGCCGACAATTGCATCTAAGGCACACTTATTCTACAAACAATTCCTTCGGCTGGCATTACAATTCGGAGCTAAACTGGTGCCGGACTCTATTTAAGGTCCAATGCCCTGGCAGGGCCCTCCACTCCTAAAGGAGCCATGGCAGACGGACCTAGCCCTCTCACCACCTGTGAGACTCCCACCGAACACCAGACCACGTAGTAATGGTATTGACACGATGATGACAACTGTATTTTTTGTGCCATGTTAACAAACATTTTGACTGATGTTATGATTGTGTGTTTATACCTCAATGATTTTCCTTTCTGTAAGACTGTCTTATTAAAAACAATAAATAAAGAATCTTTAAAAAATAAAAAAAAAAACCATGCGCTGTGTTCAATGCCTCGCTGAGAAGAGAGGCAGACATGACCACGGCAAATGTATGTTTGCCGCCAAAAACCAATAAGGACTCTACAGAACCCGAACACTATAGACCCATATCATTATTTAATGTGGACTTAAAGGACCACTATAGGCACCCAGACCACTTCAGCTTAATGAAGTGGTCTGGGTGCCAGGTCCAGCTAGGGTTAACCCTTTTTTTTTTATAAACATAGCAGTTTCAGAGAAACTGCTATGTTTATGTTAGGGTTAATCCAGCCTCCAGTGGCTGTCTCTAGAGGCGCTTGCGTGCTTCTCACTGTGAAAATCACAGTGAGAAGACGCGAGCGTCCATAGGAAAGCATTGAGAACGCTTTCCTATGGACTGGCTGAATGCGCGCGCAGCTCCTTCGCATTCAGCCGAAGAGGAGGAGAAGAAGGAGGAGAGGAGGAGGAGAGCTCCCCGCCCGGCGCTTGTGAAAGAGGTAGGTTTAACCCCTTCCTCTCCATCCACCCCGGCGGGAGGGGGACCCTGAGGGTGGGGGCACCCTCAGGGAACTATAGTGCCAGGAAAACGAGTATGTTTTCCTGGCACTATAGTGATCCTTTAAAGACTAAAATTATGTCTAACCGGCTCAATCCCTATCTAGGCAAGCTGAGCCACCCAGACCAGGTAGGATTTATCCCTCACAGACAGACCTCGGATAATACGCGCAGAAGCATAGACAACACCTGGCTGGCAAAACATAGTCAGATACCGACAGCCGTCAAATCGCTAGATGCCGAAAAGGCGTTGGACTGTCTCCTACGGCCCTTTCTCTATCGAACCCTTGAACACTTAGGATTCCCAAAGGAATTCCTCTCCTTCTTACAAACAGCTTATCACGCCCCGCAAGGAGCCCTACTCTTACACAACATCACGCTGCCAAGGTTCCTCGTCACAAATGGCACCAGACAGGGCTGCCCCCTCTTACCCCTCTTATTTTACCTCTCCTTGGAACTGTTACCATAATATTTCATCTTGCATGTCTACAATAGTTAATGCCAGACAGGCACGTCATGTAGTGATCGTTTAGACAGAAATAGTAAACCTGTATACGTTGCTCTGAAGAAAAAAAAATTGTGCTGTTTTTTGTTTTTTTTCACATGCTGACCAACTGTTAACAATATGTTTCGCCACACTCTTGTCAATGCTGTTGGGGCATGACGAGCCCATTTGTTATATTTTCATGCACTCCAAAAATAAAGAATTTTACTATACTATACGAAAAGAATTACACCCCGCCCCCACCAAAGCTCACACAGATCTGCGCAAATGGAGGGTGATGGGCATCTCTTGGCTGGGATGCATTGCCTCTGTTAAAATAAATCTCCTCCCCAGATTCTTATACATCTTCCAAACACTCCCCATTACAAAGTTAGTGTTAATATTTGTTTATGTGTGAAAAATGCAAAAAACTAATTTAAACGACAATTTTGGCCAGTGTTTGTGGATACTAAAAAGACTGGATATACCCCATTTTCAATACCTTGGGTTGTCTATTATTGCAAATTGTATGCCATCATGGGGGTAATTTTTATTCCTGGGCTACCATACGGTCTCAAAGGCAACGTAACCAATCTGGCAAATTTCAATGTGAAAAAACTGAAACACAAGCCTTATATTTGACTCTTTAACTTTTGAAAACACCATAAAACCTGTACATGAGGGGTACTGTTATACTCAGGAGACTTTACTGAAAACAAATATTAGTGTTTCAAAACAGTAAAACATTTCACAACAATTATATCGTCTGTGTAAGTGCCATTTGTGTGTGAAAAATGCAAAAAAAATTCACTTTCACTGACGATATCATCGTTGTAATACATTTTACTGTTTTGAAACACTAATATTTGTGTTCAGCTAAGTCTTCCGAGTAAAACAGTACCCCATATGTACAGGTTTACTGGTGTCTTGGAAATGAATAAAACAACCTAATTATGTAAAATTATTACATAAATATATACGTAGAATTATTATATATATATATATATATATATATATATGTGTATATATGTTTAATTATTTGTATTTGTATGTAGGTATATATAGTGATATATACATATATACTTATGTATATAGATATATATTATTTCATTCTACGTGTATTTTCATATCTATATATATATATTAACTTTAAAATAGTTAGAACAAAATTAAACATATATATTTATTTTTTGTTATTTTTTTATTTTATTTTTAACGTATTTACATATATATTTTATATTATATATAAATATATTTATTATACACATATATATATTTAATCAATATCATTCTACGTGTACTTTGATATTAATATATATATATATATATATATTTATATATATATATATATATATTACACAAGATCCAGTGCACTCACCTATCCACCAAACAGCAACCTCAATGTTGAAAGATTTTATTTGTTTTTTTAAAAACACCTAATCTAGGCAAAAATAATGGGGGTTTAGTTACATTATATGATCATACATTGCATAAGCCTGCCACAACGTCAATGTACTCCATCTTTGGCAGGTCCTACTCTATATATATATTAATATTAAAATACTCCAATAACCAAAAAAAGGTGTTGCGCTTAAATATTACTTTGTTTATATAATTAGTGTATATCTCACCAGGAAATTTTCATAAAAATCATCTGAACAGATACAAATACAGACAATATAGTCCAGACCATCTGATTTCAAATATTCTTATAGTGCACACTTAAATAAAAAATTGGGAGTTCACACTCACATTTCCCAGAACCTGATAAACCCTGGCTCTGGGTGGGATAAGCTTCTATGGAGAGGGAAATATTTCCACAGTCTGGTGTCCCAGAGAGACCAAACATTCTTCTGCAGCACTGTATGGGAGACAGTTCCAGGAGTAATATTAAAATACACTTAGACTATGTATATATGTATATGTGTATATATATAATAAATATATATATGATCTATGATATATATGATTATATTTGATCTAAGTATATATAATTTAATTTTAAACTGTTTTAACTTTTATTTATTTTTTTTTTTACAGGCAGCAGGGGGAGTATGGACGGAGGAGGACTCCCTGGGCTGCCAGGTGAGTCCCCACACTGCGATCGCCGGCGACCAGGTAAGTAGAAAGGACGGCGGGGACGCCCCCGGCGTTTAGAGCCGGGTCCCCAAGGATGGCATAGCACGCCCGCCGTCCTTAACCCTTTCAACTCGGATAAAATTTCAGTTTCGTTCACCAAATTTGCCAAATTTATTTATAGAAATCACTCTGTGGGTGCGTTTATTTTCAAGTCGCCTTTATCCAATAACGTTATGTCCCTCTGGGTGAGCTGTACGATCGTCAAACTTGTATGCTACTCATATGTCCCACCAGGTGGGACATACGATCGGAATCAGAAAATTAAAATGTCTCACCTAGTGGGACAGTCGAGCGGAAAGGGTTAAGGGGTTAAACTGCATGAAATCCTTTATTAATTAAACTGTCCATTCCTATACCCCTGTCAGTCTGAGACAACTCCACCATATATGAAGGTAGGAACTCACTTGTCTGCATCCCCCTCCAACAGAGCCTTGCACGCACCTTAGACTACTCCATAGCAAAGCATTATTCAATGCTTTACTATGGGGATTTTGGCGACGCTGGAGAGCCTCACATTGCGTGAGGACGTCCAGCATCGTATAACACACTTTTCGTGTTCTAAGATAGACAGCCACTTGAGGAGGACTTAACCCTGCAAGGTAATTATTGCAGCTTATGAAAATTGCAATAATTACACTTGCAGGGTTAAGGGTAGTGGGAGTTGGCACCCAGACCACTCCAATGGGCAGAAGTGGTCTGGGTGCTTGGAGTCTCCCTTTAAGTTTGCAGTTTTTACTGAAATCTAGATGTATACCCTAACTTCTTTAGCAATTATGGCTTTTCCTATCCTCCACACCCACTTATTCCAGAAAAATATCATCAGGCGAGTGAATTATGTGACTTCTCTAAATACATATTCTTTCTTAATTAGGATATATCAAAATGAAGAAAAACCCCAAAGCCCACTGGGCAGAGCTGTGGGAATGTACAAGAAGATCTACAAGTTCGTCATTCTGTTACTTCCAAAGATGCCAAAATATTCACTATTACTCCGAATTACGCCAAAACAACTCAAGAGGTGGCAACTGCCCTAGTTAAGGTCGTGGAGGAAGATGAAACGAAAAAGGAAAATGTTTATGTAGATTTCCATCCTGAGCCACATATTCCCAAAGCTGTGATCACATGTCTAGAGTCTATAGAGTCACATGTCTATATTACTCTTGTGGGCCCAGTTTGTTCTACTGAACCTCTTACTAGTGGACTATCAGAGGAGCTACCAGTACATTCTATTTAGTCACAGTCCACTTTGGTTTTCCAATCTGAGCCAATTGATTTAGATCATGAGCAGTCAGTCACAGCTGCTAGAAGGCCCGCTTCATCATACTAAACCTTTGACTAAGGAATTGTCCCAGGAATTGCCAGTAAATTCTGCCAAGAGCCTACTTTTGAATCCACCAATTTCGCGGCAGGGGAAGTGCTTTTAACAAATGCAGAAGGACCCACTGAATTAAAAGTTAACCTGCCTGAAGTACATGTTAGCTCTGTCATTAAACCTGAAAACCAGTTAATAAGCCTGCTCAGGAAAAAGAACATGAAGAAAGTGAACCATCTACTAAAACTAATGTATACCCAGGGCAGACCAGAGAGAGCCAAGCACAAACTGCTGAAGCTGTGCCTCAAACAAACCCAAATATCAAGCTGGATAAATGAAAATTCCATTAGTATCCAGGCTCAAAAATAGTTTTGCAAGGTTTGAGGTATTCTGAATAAGGTGACTCCTGAGACATTTCAGCAGCTAGCCAAACAGCTGACAGACCTCTCTGTTCACACAGAATATCAGCTCAAAGGTGTTGTTGAACTACTATTTGAAAAATCAATATCTGAGCCAAATTATTCATTTATATATGCCAACATGTGCCACTGTCCAATGAGGCTGGAAGTTCCAACAGAAAGAAATCCTAAAGTCTGCATTAACTTCCGCAGGCTGCTGCTAAATCTCTACCAGGAGGAGTTTGAAAAAGGTGAAGATGGGCGAATACAAAAACTGCAGACAACACTGGAAATGGCTACATCGCCTAAAGAAAAGGCTCAAGTAAAGGAGGAATTGATCGGTGCTCGCAAGAAAGCATGCAAGCACTCTCTAGGGAGCATCACATTGATTGGGGAACTATTTAAACTGAAAATGCTCTCAAAAACCATCATACATGACTGTCTTATCAAACATCTGAACAGGCAAAGTGAGGAGTCAATGAGTACTTCTGCCGTTTGCTAACATTAGTTGGAAAACACCTGGAACGTGGACTGCCTCTTATGGATGACCATTTAAGCAACCGGCGTAAGTTTAACATTGATAAACTCATCAAAAACAGGAAAACATCTTCTCGTATTAGATTCATGATGCAGGATGTGGTGGGTTCTGTGGTGGATATGAGGATTTACAACTGGGTGCCTCGTCGTGCAAATCTGGATCCAAAAACAATAGCTCAGCTTCATAAAGAAGCAATATTGGAATCCAGATAGACAGAAAAGTGCAGTGAACCAATGAAAAAAAATAAATCTGTGATAATGCACCATTTTCAATTCAATGTCAGCTGCAACTGAGCACTGCTTGCTGTTTCTACATTTATAAATAAAACTGTTATTTTTAAATATTCCAAGTGCAGAGTTGTTTTAACATAAAACTAAAGGAACAAATGCTTCATGCCCAATTCATAGTTCATGGCAGTGTTGAGCAGTGGCATCTCCAATCTCCAGCATTCGTATTTAGAGGGTCACGTGAGAACAATTATAATATATATATATATATATATACGCATATATGCATATATATTAATATATTATTGCCCCACCCTGCCTGCACAGAAGGGTCATATTTATATTTGTGTTCAGGGCATCAAAGCCATAGAGCTAGAGGTATAAAAACATACCGGGATGAGGCAAAGTCGGTTGTGGTGTGCCGGAACCGCCGATACGGGAGGCCTGAAATAAAAGAGGGCCTACCTTATATAAATATAATAGAAAAAGGGAAGTGGTGGGTGGGGAAAATCACCAGACCTGAGACGGTAGTGAGGAGGGGTCTGGCGCTCTTTAAGAAGGGAAACCAGGCCTCTCCCACAACTACAGGCCCAGCCTTCCATTTGTGTTCAGGGCATCAAAGCCATAGGGCTAGAGGTATAAAAACATACAGGAATGAGGCAAAGTCGGTTGTGGTGTGCCAGAACCGCCAATGTGGTAGGCCTGAAATAAAAGAGGGCGAAAAGAGATATCATAACAACATTTATTCAGTCTACAAATACAACGTAGCTACATCACATAATCATGTTCCGGAAGGCTAGCCATACTTCTTGTACAGGTTGAGATATTTATCTAGTGTAAGCAGTGGACTTCCACCGACCTAACGTCTTAATAATATGTACAGGAATATTCCTCTTGGAAGCTGTGGTAGCAGCTCCTATATGAAATGAACTGAGTAATTTGTTGGGTTAACCCCTAACCGTACCAATAACATTCTAACATAAAGCATAAATCTACTAGTAGTGAGTGTATTTCTGTGTAATGCAAGCAGTGGTTTGTTTGGTGAACTTTGACTGGAGGAAAGGTAGTGATCCCATTGATTGCTTGTGGGATAATACTTAATTTTTACAGTCTGCCCCTACCGCTAGTTTTTGTGTGGTGTAGTGAAAGTACGTAGTGGTCATCTGATTTTACCAGATGTATTCTTGCAATGAAGTCAGTGGAGTTGGAGATAGTGGTGGTGAATTCCCGTGGTCGGAGAAACCCGTAGAACGCCAAATAAATGGCAGCTTTAATGACGTGATTTGTCTGGGTTTCGAATGGCGAGGTATCTAGGAGGTCTGAAAGTGATTGGAACAGGTGATTGTGGATTGGTAGTCTAGAAGGTGTAAGTAGGGGTTTGGAATCTTTGATATCTTTCAATATGGCTTTAACCTTTTATGACGAAAGGAACCATTGTTTATTAGGCCATGTAGTGAAGATATGATGTTGAATGCTGGTAATGTATAATTATATTTATTATTTTTTTATTTATTTATTTTTTCTTATTACCAAGGATATATTTGCACCCGTATTGTTTTTATTCTTGATTCTGCACCTTTAACTATTGCTGCTGGGAACGCAACATTTAGCAAACCTTCCCCTCCCCTGTGTGTGAATATATAAGATTCAAGGTCGCCACCTAGTGACCATATATATATTGCATGTCAACCTTTTCTTTTTTCTTATGTGCCTTTTATTGTGATAATTGGTTTTAGTATATTTACGGTTAGGGATCTCCTAGTACGTGTAGGTTTTCGTTCCTACTTACATTTATTCACTGCGTTGAAATTGTTACAAATTTGTGACTTCCCTAAAAACACAATATTCCGTCCCAATTTATCTTTCAGAACCCTGTCAGGTCTAGCTGTGGTAGTCGGGTTGGGGTAAAAGGCACTCACTTCCGGGGTGTTTGGGCATAAGTTAGCAGTATGTGAAGAGGATGAGCAGATAGTACAAGCTGGTGTCTTGAGGCCCGCAAAGTGTCTACAAAACAGTTCCGTATCCAACATACTTCAGTCTGCTTGGTAGTTGAATTCTGCCAGTGATGCAGATGCCCTTGCGGAGAAAGAACGGTGGTAGTCGTAAAAGGACGTGCCACCATACTTGTGCCCCAAGTCCACCAGCTTGTGAAGGTAAAGATCAAATTCTTCCTCCTGTCAGGATATACTGAACAAACCACATCCCATATTCCGGAATATATAATTTGCGATTCAGTCTGGGATCCCTTGATTTCAAATCTACAGATACATCTTGGGAGGTAATGAGTAGTGAGACCAAATTCATGTCTTTCCCCTCGAAGATGTAATTTTTAATGTTAGCTGGTACCATATGTACAGGGTGAATAATATGTAGGTTCTTAGGGCCAATTGGGATATTACCAGATTGGGTGCTGGGGGGATTAGCGGAATCAGGAGTAACCAGTGCTTATCGAGAACTCAATTGGGTTCCCGAGTGTCACGATAGTGACCCCTTCACACAGATGGTAACCCTGAAAGGGACGTATACCAGACCTTAGGGTGGCCGGACTTAACGTCAAAGAATAGTCAAGAAAAAGCCGAGGGTCAAAGGAGTACGGAAATCGGGATATACGAAAAAACCAAGCCAAAAGTCAGGGAGCCAGATAGGAGAATAGTCAGAACGAAAGCCAAGAGTCAAAATACCAGGAAAACAGCAAAACAGTAAAAGAGCACTAGGGGAACAATCAAGAACCACACTAGGGCACTGAGGTGTGGACAGGAATGCCCTTATATACTAATGTGTGTGTCACTTTAAAGCCACGCCCCCAAAAGGTTCGGGAGCGTGGCCGCGTTTGAATTTTCGCGGCAAAATCATTATGACGTCGGCGCGCATGCGCCGCGTCATAAAACGGATTTTGCCGCGAGCGGGCAGCGTCCGAGAGGCTGAGCCGCCTCCCGGAAGTAGCCGGGGAAGCTGTCTTGCCGCGCGGGATCGGCGGACCCAGGTAAGGTATCGTTACAGTACCCCCCCCTCGAGGACCGCCCCCAGGGCGGGCAGGACAGGGCCCGCGAGAACGACGCCTAGCAAAGGAATGGACTAGGCGAGGCGCGTGCACGTCCGAGGCATCAACCCATGACCTTTCCTCGGGACCGTACCCCTTCCAATCCAACAGATACTGGAGCCGACCTCTAGAGATCCGAGAGTCTAAAATAGACTTAACCTCGTATTCGTTTTGGCCATCAACGAGAGTAGAACGAGGAGACCTGGGTTTACGAGTAAAGCGATTACAAATCAAAGGTTTCAGAAGAGAAACATGAAAGGAATTGGGAATCCTCATATTAGCTGGTAAATCCAGGCGATAACAGACTGGATTAATCCGTTGGAGGATCCTAAAAGGACCAATGAAACGCGGAGCAAATTTCATAGATGGGACTCGTAATTTAATATTGCGTGTACTCAACCACACTCTATCTCCCACTATAAAATTCGGAGCATTCTTGCGCCGGGTGTCCGCTTTGCGTTTTTGAGCATCGGCCTTATGAGTCAGGATACGCTTGACCCCTAACCAAGTTTCTTTCATATTCCTCACAGTATAGTCAACACTAGGCACAGCGGAGGATGAAAAAGAACTCGGAAGAGTAGTAGGGTCAAAGCCATAATTTA